CGTGAGCACGTCTCGTCTGGACCCTGACATGCAGCTACCCTCAAGCAGCAGCCACAATTTATGTGGAGCAAGCTAAGGTTCTATCCTCTGAACATCAAGATGGAGCTCTTTCCAAGATCATGCAAGGCCTGCCTGCTGCATCTTACTTCTGACCCTCCATAGTTCTTGAATTCTGGCTCTCCCCATCACCATTTACAATTCCCCAAATACACCAAACATTTACACTTCCATGCCTTTATATGTGCTGTTCCCACTGTCTGAAACGACCTTCCTTTCCTCCTTCTCCCTGCCCAAACCCTGCTCACCCTTAGAGATCAACCCAAACATCACCTCCTTGGCAAAGACCTCTGCTGATCTACTCCTTCCTAAACTTGTCTTCTCTCCTCAGGTTGCTCCGCCCCCAAAGCACCCTGTTTGTTTGCATCTCTGTCTCCCTTGCTGGGCTGCAAGCTCCCTGAGGACAAAACCTGGGGTTGATTCCTCTGTGCTGGCCCTTCCCTCACTGGGCTGGACCCTGGTTGGGCTTTTTGTTTTAATGACTTCCACCTTGTATAGCAACTCTAATACTCGTTGTGCTTCAGTGACCATGAATCCATTTCCCACTCCTGTAAGGGAGTGCCCATTCCGGAATCAGCCCAGTGTCTCCCTTTCCCTGGCTCCCTCCATCACTGCAGACTCTCTTCAGCACTGCGCACCTCTGCCCGCTCGGGGACTCTACCTCCCTGCTCCCCACCCCCAAGGCACTCATGTCTTTCAGTCTAGGACTAACTTCCTACCAACTAAAGCTGAGGTGAAGGCAGAGCCGGGGGGTTGGGGGGGGGGTGGGGGGGGGGGGTTGGGCCCTGGGATGGGATAGGAGTTGGAGCCAGAAGTCAGGCCAGGCCTGATCCATTTGAAAGCACCAGTGTGGTCAGAGGGTCAGGCAACTGCTAGCCAAGGGGGCCGCCCACAGACCCAGAGCAAAGCTTCTCCTCTGAGTGGGAGGAGCAGGAGAGCCCCTCATGCCCTCCCCGAGAGGCGCCCTTCGGCAGGGCCTGGGGCTCCTGGATCTGCTCAGGAGGCAGACTTTGTTGCTTTAGTTCCGCTACAAGGCTTCTGCTCCTGCCTGAGCTGTTACAGCCTACAGATTGCTGGTACTCATCTGATTGAACAACTTAATTAAAATGCAATAAAAGGAAAGTGGGCCAGATGTGCCCGGGGAGAGGAGGCAGGCGTCTGAGTCCACGGCCTGCTTTCTGAGCCCTGTGCCCTTCCCATCCTGCCTGGAGGCCGCTGGGCAGGCAGTGGCCACGGGAATCTGGACTCCGGAGTCGGATACGGAAACTCTTAAAGGTTATCTACTCTGTGAGCTTGTTCATACTGATGATAGGGAAACTGAGGCCCACCAAGGACAACCGAGCCACCCAAAGCTGTTCGGTGCATCATTTGAAGAAGGACAATAAGTCTCTAGGACTTCCGACTGTCCAGTGCTTCTCTCATGAACCAGGTGGGAGAAAGAATTGTTTGAAAACACTAGACCCTTGTCCTTGGGGAGTACTCTCTCCTGAGGCCCCAAACGTACTTGTTCTTTTTAAGTAACAGCTTTATGGAAATATAATTCACATACCATATCATTCACCCTTTCAAAATGTACAAGTCAATGATTTCAATATACCTGCAGAGTTGTGCAACCATCCTGGCAATCAATTTTAGAAGATTTCATTATTTCCCAAAGAGATGCAGTACCCTTTAGCTATGGTCCCCTAATCTCCCCCTTTCCTCCTACCCCTAAGGTACCACTAATCTACTCTCTGCCTCTACACATTTGCCAATTCTGGACATTCCATATACATGGAATCATATTATATGTCCTTTGGTGACTTGCTCCTTATATTTAGCATAATGTTTTTGAGATTGATCCATATTGAATCAGTACTTCATTCCTTTTTATGGTCAAATAATATTCCACTATATGAAATTGCCACATTTTGTATATTCATTAGTTGAAGGACTTTGGGTTGTTTCTCCCTTTTAGATATTTTGAATAATGCTGCTATCAATATCTGTGCACAGTTTTGTATGGACAGGTGTTTTCAATACTCGAGTATGTCCCTAGGAGTAGAAAAATCTGTTCGTTCTTGCATCTTATTAACAATTTCAGTAACAATACCAGTGGACATCCTAAAGCATTATTGCACACAATGACTCAGAGAATAGTGAGGACAGCAGGAAGCTGGATGGAGAGAGACACAGAGAGGTTAATTATTTTGGCTCTGGTCACACAGCCATAGGATAGGGCCAAAGAGGAGATATCATAGCTGGAACTCATGAAAATTAGCCAACAAAACTTTTATAATTTTAGGGGAAAAGCCCTGGAACATTTTAAAAATCACACGCCTATTCGAATGTACCATCACTTTAATTATATGGATCAGTTTTTAACTTTGGTCCTTTTTTGTCATCTGTCTTGTGTCTCCCATGGAGACCATCACATTCTCTCGGTGGAACTCAGTTCTCCTCCCACTTCCCAACGGTTTCATCCCGTCCTCACTGCATGGAGTGCTCACACTGAGGGAGTTTTGGAGGTGAGTGGAGGCTCTTTAAAGGGTTCGCTTTTGTCACAGCTGCAGCCCTCCGAGCCCTGAGGGTGGGGAACACGAGCCACACTGGGCACTCAGGCCTGCGCTGCGTCTGTCACCAGATGTGCGCGCGGCTGAGGACTGAAGTTGCTCTGGATACCTCGCAGGTTGAACTCTATGCAATTGTCAACACTTATTAATTTCTCATCTACGGAAATGGCAGTCTCATGTGGTTCAAACCGCCAGTCTCTGGTGTCCCTCTGTGTTCCTGTCAAAGGCCCAGATCTTGTGCCCTGGAAGCTTGTCCCTCCATCCCGGCCAGTCTTCCTCTGCTAACCTTCTCAAGTTGCTTTTCTCCAGCTGCTCACTCTTCCGCCCAAAGGCGTGAGCGGGAGCAGTGTGAGAGCACTGGGCTGGGAGTCAGGAGCCCTCTCCTGCACTCCCTGCCCATCTCCCCACAGGTCCCCTTTCTCCCCCTCCCCCTCCCATGGATGTCTCCTAAAAGCCCAGATCTGCTCCAGCCACACTCTACTTCAGATCTTGCAAAGACTCCCCATTACCTAGTGCATACAAAGTACTAACTGTGCAGCCTGGCCAGGAGACACATCCTCAGCTCCTGGCTCTCTGCTCCAGCCATGCCTAACTGCTTGCAGACCCCTGCAGGTACCTGTGCTCGCCCACCTCTTTGCCTGGAAGAATCTGTGCGCCTCCTTCATTCAGCTACCTGTGACATCCTTCAAGATCAGATCACTCCCAGGAGACTTCCCTGAGCCTCAGGGCTGTTAGGAGCCCTTCCTCTCTGTTTCCATTTACCTATGTTTCTGTCTCTGCTGGCATTCATCATTTGTATTTTAATCATCTCTTTGTGTGTCTCCCTCTCAAGCCTGTGGGCTCCTCACAATTCTACCTAATTCACACTTGTCTCGTTTGTCAGCATAAAAAGAGTCAGCCAAGTCTCATTTGACAGAACTAAGCAGTAGAGACCGTGCCTCAGTTTCCCCACCTGCTGGAAATGCCTGGGGGCTTGGGCAGAAGGGGTCTGGTTTTAAGGACCCTTGCAATTCTTGTGGTCTAAGGAACTGCCCTATGAATCCTTACCTCCCAGGCCCCTCACAGGATCCCGTGTGGGTCCAAAGAAACTGATGGGACAGGATTATCTAAATGGAAAGTTCCAAGGAATTTTGAGGAAGATTATTTTGTTGTTTTAATTCAGCACCCCCTAAGCGCATGCCACAGTCAGAAAAGTGGCGGCATACATAGTTGTACATACCAGCTTCCCTGGATTCTTTTAAGCGATGCCTTCCCAGGCAGTCTGGCAGTGCTGCCCACTCCTGACCCTCCCGCAGCTCACTCCCGCCAGGATCTGCATATCAGATGCCTAGGGATACACCGTCCAGGTCCTCAAACCTGTCGCTGCCCGCCCAGCCCGCATCCACCTCCGAGCCCACCGAGGTTGGCAGAGAGGGACCTCGGTCCGGGCGCCCTCTGGCGGCCGCGTGCAGAAGCGACGGCCCGGCCGGGAGCAGGCGAGGGGAAGGGGGAGGATGGGGGAGGAGGAGGCGCGGGCAGGGGAGGAGAGGAAAAAGTTGCGCTGGGAAGTTTGGAAAGTTGGGAAGTGGCTGCTGCGGGCTTCGCCTCCCTCCGCGCGTGTGTGAGGGAGAGAGCGAGGGAGCAAGAGAGGAGCGAGCGAGCGCCTGCCATGCCCATCAGACCCCGCCTCGCCGCGCCCGGGCGCGGAGCTCGCCCGGACTCCCTGCGGCCCGGCCCGGCCCGGCGCGGCCCCCCGCCCCCCGCGTCCCGCGCCGGGTCCTCCCCTCCCCCCGCCCCGGCGGCCCCAGCCCCCCGCCCGGCCCGGCTCCGCGCTGCTCTCCCGCCCTCCTCTCTCCCTCCCTCCCGGCCGCGGAGCAGCATGGCGGAGCCCGGGCAGCGGCCGCGCGGCCGTCCGCCGCCCCTCTGAGCCCGGCTCGGGGGCAGCTGGGCACACAGCTCCGACCCCCGGCCCCGCCGCGCCCGCCGCCGCACTTGTCCCACTGCGCGCCCCCGGAGCGCGGCGCACCCCTGGGACCTTGCGCGCCCCGGGTCCCCAGCATAACCCCGGGACCCCGCGCGCCGCGGGATCCCAGTACTGCCCCAGGAGCCCCGCGCGCCCCTGGACCGCGACGCAGCCCCGGCACCCCCAGAACCCCGGGGCTCGGCCGACGGGGCTGCGCACCCTGGCGAGGGGCCCCGCCCCAGCGGGCACCCCTCTTTCCACTGACGGCGCCCCGCCCCCGAGGGACCCCCAGGTTCGGCAGGGACATCCAGCCACGCCCCAGAGGGCTCCCAGCATCCCGCAACGAGCCCCGCGCTCCAGAGGAACCTCGGTGCCCAGCTGGGGGCTCCCAGCCCCGCTGAGGGGGCGCCGCCCAGGAGGGTCCCCCGCGCCCCGCGGGCCCCGGCAGGATGCACGCCGCCCTGGCGGGGCCGCTGCTCGCCGCCCTTCTCGCCACCGCCCGCGCCCGCCCGCAGCTCCCGGACGGAGGACAGTGCCGGCCGCCCGGATCGGTGAGCGAGCGCCTGCCCGGCCACGGCAGCCCCGTGGGGATGCTGGTCTGGGGTCCTGCCTTCAGCACCCACCTCCTCCCGCCAGGTGCTGCCTCGGGCGCCTTCCCTCGCTCCTGCCGCCCAGGCTCCAGGTCCGAGCGAGCGGTCTGGGTGCTCCCTGGCTGCTCCTTCAGCACACGCTGCCGCTCTCGCTCTGCAACTTTCGGTCCTGCTCGGAGGCTCCTCTCTGTACCCCTATGACACGCCACTTTCTTGCTGTTACCCTGTCTTTGCCTTCCCGCCTTCGCTCTGCCCACTGTGACTCAGTTTCTACTACCCCATGCTCGCTTTTCTCTGATTTCCACCAGACCCTTCTCCCATTCACACGCGCCCCCTCCCACGCTTCCTGGCTCCCCTGCCCTCCCACTCTGACCTAAGACAAACTTTCCCCTAGTGCAGTTCCCCACTCTCTCTCCCTCTCCAACCCAGGCCCCAGCACCCACTCTTCCAAATGCCCCTATTTCACAAAAAGGGGGAAGCGTCCGGAGGAGAGAACACGCAGTGCCAGGAAATACATGCTGCCCTACTATTTCCTTGGGGTCGAGTAATAGGTTCTCCTAATTCTCCTTCCAACGAAGGACTCTCTTGATTTCCCTCAGTGTACCCCCTCAAAATGTAAATTAAAACATTGAAAGTAACCCTGAATTGGAGGTGAGGAGACCAGGAGATGACTTTGTAGGGTCTGCACTCACTGCCTTGTTAGCAGAGAGGTAGTTGTTGACCTTGAACAAGGTGCACCTCCAGCGTCCGACTCTTGCCTGCTGGGCGCTCAGAGGCAGCCTTGATCTCCAGCATGCTGGGATTTACAGTTGTTGGTTGTTAGTCATGTAAGGTACCACTCCTTCCAACCATCCTGAAACATGCTTTTCACTGTGCTAAAATCAGGGAGAGAAATGTCATGAGCTGACCTAAAGCTTGCAGGTGCTACGTGGACAGACAGTCCAGGGTTTCCCTGGATGGAAAATGATTTGGCCTGTGAGAAATGACAGTTTCTTTCTCATGGCTCCTAACTCCTGACCTTAAACTGGATCTGGAGAAATGACCCCTGTTTCTGTGCCCCTCTGTGTTCACTCCTGCACACACCCTTGTCAAAGTCTTGGTCGCAGATGACAGAGCATCGGAGTTGGAGACCAGGTGCACCTTATTTAGGGGAGCAGCCTGGAAAGCGCCCAGAATATGCGCATTTCTTGGGACTGATTCTATGGCATCCTCCTCTCCCAAGCCAGGGCCTGAGACTTCACTTAGCTTGCAGCTATTAAAGCACTTTTTCATCTGTGGTTTCAGCTGGTTGAGCAGAGTAGCTGACACCCAGATCTGCCCTCCCAAAAGAAAACTGTATCCACCCTGATGAATGGGAAGTCGCTGTTTAAATAGGTGTGCTATTTTTAATAGGTGTTCTGCTTTCAAAGTGCTCTTGGCAAGTATCATCTAATGGTTGGATTTCAGTTATATGACTTCCTCCCTTCTTACCAGAGCAGTACTCTTGCTCCCCCCCTCGCCATTCTCCCTGTGAAACACCACTGGTGAAGGTTTGGCTTGGCCAAGCATGAATGTTCTCAGGTGGTGTGGCAGACCTTGGCACAAACAGCGAAAGCTAATCATAATGAGAGCTTCCTTCATCGCCCCTTCCTCTGTGCCTGGCACTGCTGTTAGGGTTTATTTAGATATATTGTGCGTTTTTATTCTCCCATTAACCCCTGAGGTAGCTGCTCTCACCCCCCATTTTACAGATAGGGAAACTGAGTCTGTGGAAGTAGAACGATGTGCTCAAGATCATACAGCTAAGACAGTGTGCAACAAAGATTTGCTTGTGGGTGTTTCAGCTTCCAAAGCCCTTGCTCTTTCTTCCCCGTGGCCCCATGTAGGTATCTGCCTTCCATTCGTACCTGCTCCTGTCCCCTCTGAGTTAACCTTGGTTTACTCTGTGGCCATCGGCTTCACTGCCTTCCTTCTCCTCTGCCCCTGCAGCAAAGGGACCTCAACTCCTTCCTGTGGACTGTTCGGCGAGACCCCCCAGCCTACCTGTTCGGCACCATCCACGTCCCCTACACCCGCGTCTGGGACTTCATCCCGGACAACTCCAAGGCAGCCTTCCAGGCCAGTGCCCGAGTCTACTTTGAGCTGGACCTGACAGACCCCTACACCATCTCGGCGCTGGCCAGCTGCCAGCTGCTGCCCCACGGGGAGAACCTGCAGGACGTGCTGCCCCGAGAACTCTACTGGCGCCTGAAGCGCCACCTGGACTACGTGAAGCTGATGATGCCCTCCTGGATGACGCCCGCGCAGCGGGGCAAGGGGCTCTACGCGGACTACCTGTTCAACGCCATCGCGGGCAACTGGGAGCGCAAGAGACCCGTGTGGGTGATGCTGATGGTGAACTCGCTCACGGAGACTGACGTGCGTTCCCGGGGCGTGCCCGTGCTTGACCTCTACCTGGCCCAGCAGGCCGAGAAGATGAAGAAGAGCACGGGGGCCGTGGAGCGGGTGGAGGAGCAGTGCCACCCACTCAATGGGCTCAACTTCTCGCAGGTAGGCACATGGCGCCCGGCCCCCTGAGCTGGGCAGCCCCTGCACGCCTTTGTCCTCTTTGATTATCTCCCTTCTCTGGCCTCCTTTTGGGCTGTGGAGCGGCTCTCCAGCTGCTTTGGGGGTGGTAGGAGGGCAAACTGGTCTGTGCTGGAATTGGGGTGTTTGGGTGTTTGCTTCCCTCTCAATGGTGTTACCTGTCGGGGATATACACTCCCCACCTGCCGCGCTTGCTTGAGCAGAAAGAATTTCCCTGGGAACATCAGAGTAATGAAAAACAAAAAGGGAGCTGGAAGTTTGCATTCGAGGCCCTGGATCTCAAGATCAGGAGGCCGTGCTGAGGCTGCCGTGTGTGCGCACGCAGCAGCAGCGAGTGAACAGAGGACCCAGAGAGGGAACCGGTGCCTGGGCCTGGGGGCAGGGCAGGTGTACTGAATGGACTTGGTGTCTGTGGCTTGCTGTTTGATGTTAAGCTCTGTCGAATTTCCCAGACGACCCTCGGACTGCCTCCCTAGGCTGGGAGAAAGCCAGCCAGGATAGTTTTGGGGTTAATAATTTCAGAGAAATGTGTTCACTTAAAGGTTGACAGTTCTGATTTCTGAACCTAGGAGTGGGGGCAGGGAGAAGGGGGTTGCTTAGGAGGTTTAAAGTCTCTGGCTGCCAGAGACCGGATCCAGCAAAATGTCATCAAAAGCCCTGTCTCCATGGGCAGAGGTCACTCGCAACTCACTGGCCCCAAACTCAACTCTGAGGTCCTGGGAACAATGAGATCACATCTGTGCCTTGAGAACAGGCTGTCTGTCTGGGATGGGGGCTCACATCACGGCTGGTGGCTCCTGCTCGGAGGCCCCCCGATGGGGCTTGGGCCGATGGCCCAGTGAGGAGTGAGGCATGGCCCCCGAGACATGCTCCTCTGTTATGGAGACAGCCTCATAAATTGGCCGGGCCAGAAACTACCACTGGGACCAGAACGGCTTGCTGCTCCCGAGATGTTGCAAGCTCTTCACCAGGGAAACAGCAGCAGAAACTGATCCCTCTTCAGAGATCTCTGGCCTTTGTTTTCCAGGGGAAATGCAATATTGTCCCCAGGGAGGTAAGAAGCCAGATTGATTTGCCGGCCAAATGAAAGGCGGGTTTGTCGGTCCTCCTGCTGGCTCTCCCATAATTGTGGAGTCCTTACCCAGAGGGCCCGGTGGCAGGAATATTGGGGCAGTTAGTCACGCCCCGCAGGGTTCTGACTACGCCTGACTCCTTCTCCACGGGGGAAAACCCTGTGCATTCTCTGGCCCAGCGCTGGTTTCTCTGAACATACCGGCTTGCTCCCTCTGAAGTGACTTTCCCTTGCCAGCCTCCAGAGAGCTGATATTATCTGTGCCGGGCTCCCCAGCGCTCACCGCCCATCTCATTTTGGAGGCAGGCTTGTGGGAGGCCTCTCTGTTCAGAGGCCTCACGTCTGGCCTCGATATCTCTTTTAGGCTGGGGAGGTGGGGGATCCACCATCACTCTCAACACCCTCTTTGTACCAACCACAGAGGAATCCACAGAGCTGAAGGGAGCACACAAACTCTCTGGCTAAACAGTCCCTGGCTTTAATCTGTCTCCCTTAAAACAACAAAACTATCTTTCTTCGGGGTCTGGAAGGACTGCTGTTCAACCGAATGATGGCTTTGGTAGGTTGAAAACATTTGCTGGAAAGCGTGTGAGGTTATGTTTTAGGAAAAGTTCCCGAGAGCCATTCATCGGCCAGCAAGGAGCCCGCTGACAGTCTCCAAAGCCCACGTCTGAAGATCAAACAGACTCAAATCTCTGGTTTCACAAACGCACCCACCTCATCACCAGCCTGGGCCAGCTCTTAAAATTGTCCTTGGGTCCAGCGCATCAAGAGGGCTGCAGGAAGCAGGTCCCAAACAAAAGAAAACAGGTCTCCTCTTGGTTCCCTAATCTCCATACCCTTCACCACCTGCCAGAGGGTCCGACCCTCGCCAATTTGTCCTGTTATCATTTTGGAGCAAGGTGATGAAATCTCTCCTCAATCCCCATGGGCTGCCGTGGGCTAACTGGGAAGGAAGGGATTCCAGAGCTTGGGTGGATGGAGTTGTTAGGGATCCCCCACCCCAAAGTCAGAAATACAACGGCCTTCTCAGTAAAGTTGTGTGCGCGCGTGCACAGTTTGATATGAACATCTGTGATGCATTATTGTACCAAAATATCTGTTAAGTGCATCAGATTTTTATTTTTTCTTTCCTCTCAGCATTACTGTTATTGCAAAATATTTGGGGGGGGGGGCAATGAGAGAGGAAGGCGGGAAATAGAAGCCTTAAAAGAGAGTGCCTTTTTGTTAAGACCTAGGATTTTAGTTTTAATTTGAGTATTTCTCAAATTTTTATATTTTCTTCTGGGCACAAATACCACATTTTTTCTTGCTGAAGGAGAAAGCAAGCTTACATTTTGGAACTCCATGGGTTGGGGGACCACTGAAAAAGTTTCCTCCACCTTTGCACAGCTTGGAAGATGGGGCTCACTGGCCGAGTCTGTGATTTTAATATAAACTGAGTGTGCTAATCCCAAGTCACCATGAGTTTGCTGTGTGACCTTGGGCAAGTCAGTTCCCCTCTCTGGGCCTTGAAGTTCCTGTCTGTGAAATGAGGCACCAGGGTTAGGTCATCATCCAAGTCCCTTCCAGCCCTGACATTCCGTGGGACGGTTCTAATCAGTTCTGCGTGCCTGGCACTCTACAGGAAGCTCTGTATGCTTTTCCATTTTGTTGGATTCACACAACCCTGTGGCTTTCTAAGGTGGGCAGTCAGAAAGGTTGGGTGACTTGCCCAAGGTCACATGGCTAATATGAACAGAACCAGTCCTCCTGAGTCTCAATGAAGGATGCGCCTTCCTGCCACCCCTGTGATCAGGTACTTGGTGTCATCTTGTAATCCATCCTGTAGTCCTTTCTTCTGTTTCTTTCTCCCCCTTTAGGATTTGAGGACTTAAAACTTTACTTCTAAGGCCCAGCCGGTGTGGCTCAGCGGTTGAGTGTTGACGCATGCACCAAGAGGCTGCCAGTTCAATTCCCGGTCAGGGTTCATGCCCAAGTTGTAGGCCAAATTCCCAGTGGGGGGCATGCAGGAGGTGGCTAGTTGATGTTCTCTCTCATCGATGTTTCTCTCTCTCTCTCTCCCTCTCCCTTCCTCTTTCTCTGAAATCAATTAAAAAAAGAAAAAATAATATTAAAAAGTTTACTTCCTACCCTGGCCAGTTTGGCTCAGCGGTTAGAGCGCCGGGCTGCAGACCAGAGTCCCGGGTTCGGTTCCCGCTAAGGGCATGTACCTCAGTTGCAGTTTGTCCCCAGCTCCAGTTGAGGTTGTGTGGGTGGCAACCAGTCCATGTGTCTCTCTCACATCGATGTTTCTCTCTCTCTCTTCCCCTCTCTCTCCCTCCTGCTCTATCTGAAGATAAATGCAAAAATGTCCTCTGGTGAGGATAAAAAAAAAAGTTTACTTTCTAGAAAATGTATACCTATCGAGAAATTATTGCCTTTGGCCATGGGGCTGAAGTGGGGATGGTGAAGGCAGGTCCTCCGAAGATTTCCCTGACGTGTTACAGGCAGCTGAGCTTGGTGGGGTGAGAGAGAGGAGATTTGCCTCTACATTTCAGTCCCGGCTCTGGCTCTGAAGCCAATGACTTGCGTATAACTTCAGTGTTCCTACCTGTCAAGTGGGGCAGTGGGCCGGCCTTTCACAGTGGAGCTGACCTGGGGAAGACATGAGAAGACACGACATGAGGTCGGTTATTGAGAGGGAAAATGGCTGCTTAGATGGAGGAAGAGTCTGTGTCGGCTCCAGGACCGAGACAGAAGGAGAAGGGAAGCCTCATTCCTGCCTTGTTAGCACTTTTTCCCAGCGGCCATGCCCACTGCCCTCAGGGGCCTGGAGCTACTGAACCTTGAATCCAGATCTTGTGACAGTCTTGAGACCTGCAGATTTCAATCAGCGGTGTCAGCTGCCTCCAGGGACCGGTACCAGGTGCCACTAACTTGTCGGGCTGATTAGGAGACCTCCTCCCTCCAGGGGGCCTCAGTCCTTCCCCACCTGCAGGTGGAGGAGCTGATGAGAAGACCTATAAGTCGTGTGGTTCCCTGAGGCATAATGAGAAAACAAGGACCCACTATCCTGTACTTTGCTTGTTTTTTTTAAAATATGTTTTTATTGATTTTTTTAGAGAGGAAGAGAGAGAGATAGAAACATTGATGTGAGAGAGATACATTGATCAGCTGTCTCCTGTGCACCCCCTACAGGGGTTCAAACCTGCAACCCGGGCATGTGCCCTGACTGGGAATCGAACCGGGGACCTCTCAGTCCATGGGCCAATGCTCAATCCACTGAGCCACACCTGCTGGGCTATAGTTTGCTTGTTTTAACAAGCATGGGAAGTCCCCATCCAGTGTGTGCAGAGCCTAAACAGGGGCATGGCTGCCAAGGTTATCCAAAATGTTTGTGAAATTCCACAGCCCCCTCGCTAGGGAGTTAAAAACCATAAAATCATCATTTATTGAGCTCTAGCTCTGTACAGGGCCCTACATTAGACCTTGTAAGTATATCATCTCTAAACCTCACAGAGATGTGACCAAACATATCGTCTCGCTTTCACAGACAATAAATTGAGGCTTAAAAAGGTTAAGTCATTTGGCTGTGATCACAAACCAGGCCAAGAGGACACAGGGCTCAGACTCGGGTGTGTCTGATGCCAGAGTCCGTGCTTCTTAGGCATGTGAGAGCTGACGTGATTTTTGTTTTTAATAGTCATAAGGCACTATCTGGTGACGTAAGTGTGGGAGGTTGTCGTATCTTGCTAAATATATATGTGTGTGTGTGTGTGTGTGTGTGTATATATATATATATATAGAGAGAGAGAGAGAGAGGGAGAATTAAAAAGTGTTCATACTGATTTTCTCCTGGCTTACAAATTGAATCTAAAGGTGACTCTAAAATTAGAATTCTCAAAGACAT